AGCAATAATAAAAACTATGAAATAGCATAGCATTTTCAATCACTGAATGATACAAATGAAATGCTCAGGTTAATAGAAGAATATCATAAATCACTACATGGAGGACATTGCGGTATAAAAAGATGTATAAACAAACTGAAACAAAAATATGTATGGAAAAATATGAATAAAATGGTTAAAAAATTTATCAATAACTGTGAAATATGTGCAAAAGTTAAAATAACAAAATACACAAAAGAACAGTATGTAGTGGACCTACCTCACTTACTTCTTAGCGACTTAACATTACTCATAAATGATAATAATAAGCAGATTTATGAATTGGTTGCACTTCATGCATACCGTACAAGAAGCATAAGCAAAGCGACATAAACAAAAGAGTTTCGTATTACCAACGAAAGTATTGCCACACGCTGTTCCAATTGCTGAACACAAGTTGCAATATTTTCAATAGTAATATTTCCTATATTGCAAAAGACATGTGCAAGCAATATTGTCAATACACTCTAATAATAACTTTGACGTTTGACCTAAACAGTTTGACAAACAGTGTAGTCGCTATGCAATGCATTCTGCAAGGTCAGCAATCACTTTGATTGGCTGCGGTTATACTTTTCCAGGTTTTGTCTGGAATAAAGAGGCGGAGTCATGAGATCGCTATAATCTAGAAAAATGTATAAATACCCAAACTATTGTTCAATAAAATCAAGAATATACTTATGACTGCAGAAATATATGCGTTGTTGAATTTATTCTCACTCCTTCTGGCCAAGTAATACTGGCCTAGGTAACAGCGGTAACAAGCCGCTTGATAACTTGTTCTTGATTGCATCAGTAGGTTTTGGATGCATGCTCGTATCAGGCAGGGATAATTACACGCACTCACAAGACAAGTATTACGTCTCATTTTACCTGACGATCCTGCCTACATCTGAACGGGTTAACACATTACATGGTGATCCAGCCATTACATTGATTGAATATTGCCCATACAACCATTCATACATTACATGGCGATCCTGCCATTCATTACACTAGTACCATTACAAAGAACTTACATTACATGGCGATCATTACATTACAAGTATGATATAACTGAAACACCAAACACATCCTTTGAAGTCATAACAATTGACACAGTAGGCCCGCTTTTACCTTCAAATAATTTCAGATATATTTTGACACCTCAATGTGAATTAACGAAATTCATAGAAGCAATACCTTTAAAAAATAAAGAAGCTGTCAGCGTTGCTAAAGCAATTGTTGAGAAATTCATTCTTAAATATGGTTGTTTCAAAAAGATGAAAACCGATAAAGGTACTGAATTTACAAACGAACTTCTAAAAAATATTTGTAAACTATTAAAAATAGAAAAAACCACTTCAACACCATTCCATCATGAAACATTAGGGACAGTTGAGAGAAATCATAGAGTTTTAAATGACTACTTAATGACCATGAAATCAGTAGATACATGGGATGAATTATTACCATATGTACTATGTTTACAGTTATAACTCGACTCCGCACACTACAACAAATTACACTCCATTTGAATTAGTATATGGTAAATTATGTGCGTTACCATGTGAAATACTAGAAAATAAAAAAATGACATACGACATTGAAAATTATTGTAATGAATTAAAATTAAAACTAAGATATGCTCAAACCCAAGCTAAGCAAAAACTAATACAATACAAATCTATAACAAAAGAAAAACAGAAAAATATTAATGAATCAAATTTCAAAGTAAATGATTTTGTTTATATTAAAGTAGGAAACAAAAAGAAATTTGACAATCCATTTAAAGGCCCATATAAAATAGTGTCACAAAAAGGTAAAAATAGTACCGTATTAATAAATAATAAATATGTAGAACTACACAACAATAACTTAATCAAATGTAGAGCTAAAGAAATTTTTAAATGTAATTAAATATTAAATTAATATATTAATATCAAAATATGTCATTATTAATCTCATATCATTATTATATACAAAATACAAATTAAAAACATTATATTATACTAAATATGTTAATGAAAATATATTATTCAAACATGTTAATGAATATATACTATACAAATAGTAAATTTTAAATAAAAATTTTTTTTTGATATGGATTAGTATCATAGTGGATCTGACACTAAAATAAATAAGATAAAAACAATAAATAAAATAATTAATATCATAAATTAATTTAAATTTGTAGAAATTACAATTAATTTACACTTTTCTTAAGGGGTAGGGTGTGGTGCCCATGACCTACATCATTGTTTAATATGACAAGTCATTGCATAAAGTAACAAAACAATTGTGACATAATTTATTGAATGCACATTTGTCGCTTTGTTGTTTTGACTTTGATCATATTACACTTTTAAATTTTGTTTGACTCACGCCGTTATGATTGTGCACTCGTAACATGATGCGCGAGCCAAACGTTTTATCATATGTGGTCATTGCACGGTAGTAGCACAAATTCCTTTAGAGAAATGTTAAACCTTATGAATAACACTTATAATAATATATACAAGTAAAAATGCATAAGAAATAGATAACATATGTTAGAATAGTATAATAGATATTATGAATATCTTACATGTAA